CCGCTCTTGAGTTCCCATATACATTTTCACTCTTAAAAAGAAAAAGAAAAAAAAACTAATAAACTTAACCAAACACAAACTTAAATTTGTTTATTTATAGAATTTCAATAGAATGCATGGTTTTGATTGCTCTCCTTACATGCAATTGTAGAACTGAGACAACTTTGAGGCCTCATGAATTGTTTACTTCAAAATTTAACACCATTTGCAGATCAATTATATGGCAATAATATTCTGGTCCAATAGGAATAAGGAATTTTGTTTCCCAAATTCTTCTCATTTGGTGACGCTTCAAATTCAATTTCATGGACTTGCCTCTTTTGGGTGTGGAGTGAAATTTAAAAGATAAGTAGGAAATAATCATTATAATCGTTGATTTAAAAATCGACAATCGTGATTTCAACTTCATAAAGTGTTTGTATACATGCATATATTTTTATCACAATTTTAACTATTAATTTTTCAGTAAACGATCATCTTTACTCTTTATCTCTAAATTACGTCATGCGGTTTAGATAAGCTTTTTCTTGGCCGTGACAAAATATTAGCAATAGTGCAAAAAGGGAAGTCGTCTAAAGTACGCACAAGTTATGAAATATTTCTGAAAAATCACATGTGCTTGTTGAAAAATTATGTCCTATAATTTCTTGCTCATTATGAAATATTTCTGACATCCATTTTCTGTTCCTTTTTCTATTGAGTGAACTCTTGCAATAAAGGATTCCAACTTGTAACCCAAGTTGATATTGTCCAAGGCGTAAGATTGAAGTCACTGGTAAATTTCCATTGCAGCAACAACTGAATGCATTTTCCATAAAAATAAAAAAATAAAAAATAAAAAGTATTAAAGCATTCACTTCCTTATACTCCTGTAATGCCCACCCCTTTGACGAGCATTTTTAATTTTGCAATTTTCTCTTATACGCAAAAAATATCCATACATAGCAAGTGTGATGGTTATAGAATTCAATGGAAGGAATACACATTCTTGAAGTACTGATTCTTTTTTCAGGGAGAAGAGGAGGGAGAGCAATAAGGATTGTATTCTATAATTTCTATTAAGGATGTTGAATTCCATCCCAAGAACTTGTAAATGAATATCCCAACTAAATGAGCTAGGCTCTCACATGATAACTATGGATTATTTTATTTATATACCAAAGTAATAATACAACTAAAATCTTTTGAACTATAATGGGATACATCTAGATTTTGTGTTGTGTATCAACTCATTAAAAATTGTCTCTATACCTGCTTCTTCTATTGGAGGCAATAGAAATCCTCTGATCCCGAAGCATGTTCAAATTGGGAGCCAACAATCGTGTGTACCGGTCAAAGTACAAGAGCTGTTTCAGGAGAAGGGCAAATTCTCGAGGAAATTTTAGTCCATAAGATTCACTAACCCGAACCTGTAGAGCACAAAGAAAACATAAGCACTAACATACATATTTAGCCTTCATCAAACAGCCAGCATAGGAAATTCCCCAGCTAAGGAGGACCACTGTTTAAATGGAAGCAGGATGCTTCTCATTTCAATTTTTTTGCTACTATGGAACGTTGCAATTTAGTATGAGTATTTGACCTAGATTAATCTGAAAATTTCTCAAGTTTATCCAATATCATATTACAATACCATTTCTTGTTGAAGAAAGAGACTATTGGGTTTTGGCTTAAAAAAATTCACTAGGACCATATGATTTATTAAATGATGTTAGAGACATGCTAACTTACGGAATAACAAACTGACACCAACTGAGGCATCATCTTAATTTCTCAAAACAGAAAGGAAGCATAAATAATTTTATTGTGAGTAACAAAACCCCATAAACCTATCAACTCAAATACCACCAGTTAACGATTTTGAACTTTTTACACTGACATACAGGTTGTCTTTAGGTTCTGGTTACTTCAATCTAAAATAGCTTACCACATCAAGAAAGAGTGCATTCATCTGCCTTTCATCAACAACTATATTAGCAGCAACGGCAGTTGCATTTGTGTCTGTTCCACTAGTGGTTGCTACAACTATTTCGGTGTCCAACTCCTGCAGTTGCATAGTGGGAAGAAATGAAAAAATGTAAGTAATAACAGTAACACTCAACAAGGTTTGGACCAAGTTATATGCATAATGTTATCCCAAGATGGAAGTACTTATCTACAACAGGAAAATACCTTCTCTAGATGACACAAGGCCTATTAGATAACTAATATAATAAGACACCTTTATATTAACTCAACCTAACACCAATATTTAGAAGAGGCATGAATATAGACCCCCTACTAAATGAGATCTCTCTCTTTTTATTTTTTAATTAAATATATTTGAACATTGTTTACAATAAACTCATGCAGATACACATGCATACACTCATCAATGTAATTTTATCAGGACCATGTGTGCAGGGAGTGATAGATATACAGAGTTGAAGACACTGCACAGGTCTCTACATGTTTATCACATGTATGGTCTACGTCTCTGCACCACCCTGTTATGTCAAACACTAGAATAAATCCATAGGGGACATGTGTCATGCGTTAAGTGAGAGCTCTGATATATACCCTATGTTGAGTGAGCAGAGAATGACATTGGATTTTGCATGACTGGTCAAGATTGAAAGACCAATTGTATGCATGAAGACAGACACATTATAGTTTGGGTTTGGGAGCCACTAGTGTAAAAATCAAATGTGCTCTTCAAATTAGCAAAAGTACATACGCATTCACCCTTTGTAGTCACATATGACTGACAAGTTAGTACATAAGAGTTACAATACTTGCCTTAATTGATGCAAATACTTTTTCCAAATCTCTGGCAAAGGCCTTAGCATCAACATCCTTGTTTGTAGCACCCATCTCAATTAAGGCAGATGCCATTGAGTCATAATCTTCAATGGCAATTGATCCTAAGAAAACTTCCATAGCAGCCCATGTTTTGGGGGATATGCGACCAACAATTCCTGTAGATCAATTTTTTCTAATAGAATGTAGATTGAAACTTGTAACACACAAAATCTCATACATATATTTGTGTGTGTGTGGGTGCATACAAAGAAAACTGTAAAACTTATAGTTTTTAGAGAGACCTGGTGAGCGAGCTCATATAAAATAATAAAGCAAAGCAACAGTGACTAGAGTTTGCGAGATGATGCCATGCAGTAAGCCTTGTAAAAAAGTAAACTGATTGATAGAAACATCTAAATTTCAAATAAAATGTATTAGACTATTTTGAAACATTAAAATATTAGCAGTTGACATATGCACAGCAAAAAGTTAAAACCATATCTGTAAATATGCAGAAAGAAGATAAAGCATACCGAAGTCAAGAAAACCAATACGGCCATCACGTAGAAGCCATAGATTTCCTGCATGTACATCTGCATGAAAAGATTCACATGCAAGCAAACTTCCAAACCTGCCACAACATTTTATACCAAGATACACAAAGTTCATGTTAAAAGGAGAAGGTATAGGAATGTTAGCTGCAAAATAGAATTTCGGAGTCATACCACACATTGAGAGCAGTTATAAGGCTGGTTTCTGGATTAGAAACTAATGAACTTATGGAGTCTAGGTCAGTAAGAGGAACTCCATATAGTCTTTGCATAGTTAAAACTTTGCGTGTACTGCAGTATTGATACACTTTTGGAGCTGTTGCATCCCCTGTGAGTCCCATTGCTTCTAAATATCTCCTGAAAGCCTCAATATTTGCAGCCTCCTTGTAAAAGTCAACTTCTTCAAGCATGGACTCGCGTATATCTTGGACAATACCAACCTATTAAATAAATGCTCACATTACAAGAAAATTCTGGCCACTACCATTTATTTCAATGAAGATATAATAACAGAGGAATGTGAAAATAGATATTCCAAGTTTTCTTTTCTATATAAGAAACTAAAAAACAATGAATTTAGTCCAACAGATGAGAACAAAAGATGATTAAAAATACGCAACATAGTTAAGAATTTCATTCAGTGTTTGGAAACAGATGCTTGAGAAGAAGAAAAAACACTATTTTCATGTTGTAGCAAAAATATCCATGTAGAGGTAAAATTGCCCATATTGCTTACTAGTGATGCTCGGCCTATTTCAGGACTCAAAAACTCCAATATCCGAGCAACGACATAAACAAAATTAAGATCTGCCACTAATATGTCCTCTATTCCTGGTTTTAAGACCTTTATAACCACATCCTCCCGGGAGCCTTTTAGCCTTGCACCATGAACCTAGATGTAATGTATACCAATTGCATTAGCAAACACATAGTAATCCATTTAAAAATGCTTTTGAAAGAGAAATGCAGGTGTCAAGATATACCTGAGCTATAGAAGCAGAAGCAATGGGTGTTGGGTCAATGTATTCATAAACACTTTCTAATGGTTTTCCTAGTTCCTTACGCAATATAGATTCAATTTCCTCAAAAGGAACAGGAGGGGCTCTATCGAAACAATTTTGGAACTCTTGTACATACTCAGGTGGAAACAGTGTTGGTGCTGAAGCTATGAACTACCACACAAAAACCAAATTTTACCATTAGTATGAAGGTGCATGGCATAAAGAAGACCAACTATCATATTAGGAAATAACTTCTGTATTGAGAAAAACTTCATATTATGTGACTATAACTTATAAACTTGATCTGCTACTTGCATTACTCTTCCCCAACTAAAAATAATTGAATATTGAATATAGATTTATTTTACACTGAAACAAAACATACATAATAATTTTTTACTTATAATATTTTGAAATATAAACCAGGGAGGTTGAGGAGTAAGTAGGGGAATCCACTTATACCTGACCCAATTTGATATAGGTTGCACCCATGCGCTCAAACAACCTCCTCAAATAAAAGGGGGAGAGTAAGCCAAGCTGCATTTCAGTTGGTAACCCAGCAGATGAATTTGTTGACTACAAATGATGCAAGAGAGTTAATAACTCTGTCTAATTTTTTTAATAAAAAAAACAAAATATTAAGAGATAAATAGAGGAATATAAATTATTTTTCAAAAAGAAGCAAGATGCATGATTTAAAAAAAAATAAAAATGTTGGCAATGTTCGCCAGCAAGATATCTCAGACCTCACATTACACATCCATAATAAAATAATGTTTCCAACAGTATATGATTCAAAGAAGCACCCTCCTTTATTTTACTACAAGTGTGGAAGGGATGGTAACCTTGGCAAAATCAATTCTGTAGTTACCTGACAAGTGGTTCGCAAATGGCTTTGGCTTACTTAATTACTTCTAAAAGAGAAGCTAATTTTAACTTATGTAAAAACATGTTTCATTTTTTCTTCCTATTTTCTTCTCCTAGCAGTATTTACAAAAAGTTTATCCAAACAAGCCCTGAAACTTCTTCCATTAGCTAAAATCAACTCACACAAAACTCTTTTACAAGTTCTCTCATCTAATTTTTGTTGGGTACTAGGAGTTCACACACCTCTCCACATTAGTATGATGTTATCCCCGATGGACTTAAACTCCCATGGAATTGCTTTTGGTCATCACCCAGAAAGTCTCATACTAATGGAGACATTTATGTGCTTATAAACCCTCATGTTGTTCCTATTGTCATCACCCAAAAGGCCTAACAAATTTTTCAAAAGCTGAAGTACAGAACTTGATATTATACCATACCAAAAAAGTTTGATTCATTTTACCTCTTAATTATTTTCTTCTCCTATCAGTACCTGTTAAACAGTTGATCCAATTCGGCTCTTATTTCATTATACAAGCAAATAAACGGGTATTGGTTAACAAAAGAAAGTGATACCTTCTTATTACTTTCAAGTTTTTCATAATCTATTTCAATAAGCTTGTCAGCGAAACTCGTCAAAACAACCTCTAATTGAACTACGCACTTACAGCATAAGCTCTTGTCAAATCAAGCTATTGACAAAAACCCTGTAACAAAGTGTTACGGTTACCTTAGAAACATCAGTTAACCACTCTTGACCAACGCCAATGAAGGCCTGAACACCTTGCGCCAACCTAAGAACACCCCTGGGACCAGTGTTTAAGGATGTCTGCACAATGTCCTCCACCAGCTTCGGCAGCTCCTCCATGCCATCTGACACAACAACAGAAGGCGAAGCCAATTCGTTAAAATTGACAAACGAGAGAATGCAAAGCGAAGGGAAAGAAAGAACCTTGGAATCGACGCGAGGAGAAAAGGTCTCGCGCTTGCGCATAGCGTGCGAAGAGAGTGAAACCCTTCTTCTTCGAGCTGGAGCGAAGAAAATTGAGTTTCGCGAAGGAAGGAGGGAAGCGAAGGTTGTGGTGGTGGTGGTGGATGAGAGGTAAACCACCGCTTCTCAACCCCGAAACCGCCATTGACGATGGAAGTTGAGAAGAGAACAGAAAGGATTTTTTATTTTTTATTTTATTTTTTTCTGTGCTGTTTTCTTCTTCAATTAAATTTTCGTTTGATAGTTACAGAGATTATTTCGTTCGCTTGGGTTTTCATCGATGACACGTGGATAGTTTAACGAGTACATGTTTTAAGATATCACAGAGTGCATGTTTTAAGATATCACAAAGTACACATGTTTTTCTCTTTTTATTATTTTTTCAATTCAAACATGCATTTTTTTAATTCAGTTAAATAATATTATTAAGTTCCAACTTACAATTTTCTACATATTATTTAATATTTTACTAATTCAAATATTTTTTAATTTATTGCATGTACCAGAAAAACAATTTTAGGACTGTTTGCTTAACTTTTAAAAAACTTATACTTATATAAAATTGATTTTCTATTTTCATATACATAATTTTTAAATTGTTTTACCTTTAAATTTTAAGTAATTAAAAATAATATTAAAAATTAATTATTTTTATAAACTCATGATTTAAATTCAGGATTTTAAATTTTAAGAATTAAGTATAATATTAATTGATTCAACAAATACTTTTTATTTAAATAAATATAGAAATATGAGATGTTTAAACCTTATTAGTAATTTATAACTGTCATAACATTTTAAATATATTTTTTAATAAGAAGATAACTATTTTATTTTTTTACATTTTATCTCTCTTAAATTCATACAATATAAAATTGAGAGATTTATGAAACTAACACAATAAAATTATTTTGAATCATATCTATGTACTTAACCTAGTAATATCTTTGGTTTGTAAGTGATATATATATATATATATATATATATATATATAT